GTTTTCGTGAGCTTCAGTAGGCCTGCATCCCCATAACCGCACTCGCTCACTACTCTATGTCGGCTCCTCGCGACCACCGGCATCGATGACAGAACAGTTGTTCCTCTGCCATTCCTTGCTTCTTTTTGCGGGCGCATGCACGCGCAGCCTTTTCTGTCCGTTTTTTTGTGCTTGCTCACTTACTGAAGCAAAGATAAACGTTGCTTTCGGCACAGGCACAGACTTTGGACACAGCATCCATAATTCATGGCTGACTCATGTTTGCGACACGCCCCTTCCCTCGCCCCACTTACGCAAAGCATCAGCATAAAGACGAGAACCTAGGTATCGGAGCGGGGGGGGGTAGCATACAAAAACAGGCATATGTATATATATATATATGTGTGTGTGTGTACAACTACATGAATATGTATATATATATATATATATATATATGAAGCAGACGGTGGCAGGAGGACAGCAACAAAGGAAAAATGCAGACGACATCGACAAGCTGCTGCATCGCGGATTGGCCTTCGCTTTAGTGTGTATTGTCCAGCCTTCATCGGAGTCCAATCTCTGCATCTGATGCAGAAATTGGACTTGGATGAAATCTGTGCCGTCAACAGCGGAAAGCATAGGTTTCAAGATCCGCTCTTGACCCCCCTCGACTATCCAAGCCTGTCACGAGAGTTTCAGGTTCTGCTGTTGCAAACAAAGTTTAATAAGGCTTTCCAGAAAGGTATCTACGTCTCCAGCCATGTTCGCTCAAGCTTTTGGCCGCGAAATGATGTTCCGGTATGTACTGATGGGTGGCGGGAGCTGGCTCCCGAAGCTGTCGTCGAAAGAGTTTGCAGGGTTGAGGCGTCTCGGGAAGCAACCCCACGTGGCTTTTGACAGGTGTTTCTGGATTCTGTGCTGCCGGTTCTCCTGGGAGAAGAGCTTCGAGCTCAGGACCGCGACACCATGACCGTATGAGCTTTCCGGTAAGCTGAGAATTCCTTGCTCAGGGTTTGGGATTTCCAGGTGCTGAATTAAACAGTTGCTTGTTCTCCTTAACAGAGGCAAAAGGCAAACATGGACAGCGCCACTTTGCCACAAGGCTTTCTGCGGGGGACGCTAAAACGCTCACGTCTCAAGTAGCCCTGGGCCCCAAAGCTTATGGAGCAATAGTGGTTGGCGTTGTGCGAAGGTCAGGCAGAAGCAATTTGAAGTGGAAATCCGAAGCAGAGCCGCTCCGCCACTGAGTCTGGCAGGCCGAGAATAGAGAGTCGAGTCAGCATCTTCCCAACATCTTGTACGAGGAACTAAGGTGTGGGTAAGCAGATTGATCCGTAACATTCACACCGCCAAGAATCGCACAGTAAATCGGTTTCAACTTCTTCCAGCTCGCGATCTACAGCATACAACTCGACATAATCGTCATTCATCATGGGCATCAATCAGCATTTGCTGCTTGTGCTTGCGTCGTTTTCTCATACCATGCAATGCCTAAGTGTGTGCGCATCTTCCATTGCCTGAAGGAGTCCGGCGGACTTCCTGGGGCGGATGAGGAGGCAGCAGACAAGTATGTTGCTCCGGTTGATCCTTTAATTGAAGCTCTGTCTCTTGGGACTTGGCAGAGTGCGAGCTTTTCGGCTGTCCATCAGTACGAGCTGTGACATTATCATCCTTCCGCTCAGTGTGACCGAAACATAGCGGTCTAGCCTGTGCGGTGTTTTGTTGTGCCATAGTTACCACGTTTGCCAATACTATGAGCGTGGGTAACACTGGAACTACATGCAATACTGACGCTGCTTGTAGTATAGGTAGGTCTATCCGCTCTTCACTACCTTTGATTCTCATAGAACTTGCAACTGCATTTCCAACCGGCTCTTTCGCCACGGATGTTGATCCTTATCCATGTATTGAGTGTCTGGCATTGTCAGGATGGCAGATGGTACTATCGTGATCAGACGGTATCAGTGTTGATTTTGCATCACACATTCTGTCGTTCCTGTGCTGCCCTGTCGTCCACCGTGGACTCATTCTGTCGCTATTTCACGAGTGGCTTCGTTGTTATGTTCTTAGATTCGGGTTTGCCTGTTACAGTACTGTTGCTTGCGTGTCTATCTTGTGCTGCAATCACTTGTTCATGCTGTCGTGCTCGTTTTGCGTTTTTGCCATTATGAGATACCTTTGCCGTCTCAGTGCTTCCCTTCTGGTAGCCCCTGATATCACCGCCGTTGCCACAAGTGTTGCTTTCGGTTCTAATCGTTACGCACTCACGTCATTATCCCCTTTGCAACTTCAGCTTTTGCCTGGCACGGCTCCCTCTCCAGCGAGCCCTTGCTGCGACTGCGATTGCTAAAACTGCCAGAGCCGTGGTACTTCACAGACCCACTGCTTTTTCGCTTGGGCTTCTATGTCGCAACTCTGCTTGCCGTTGAAGTTGCGGGATGGTTGTTTGTTTCTTCGTCCCTCCGCATTCTTTCTGCTTCGAGTGGGCTCGAGTATATTGTCGCAAGCGTGCCATGCTAGGTTGAATTTGTCCGAAATCAGGCCCCAGGTGCAATAAAACGAAGCCTGAAAAGTCTGGCTTGTCATCCTCGACTAGATTGAGGTTGACGATTAGTGAACAAGAAAGTGCAAACGGTGCGCATTATGGCTGACACCATCTAACGTGCTATAGTAAAGAGGGTCGCCTAAAGAAAGGCAGCGCAACATGGTGAGATCGATCTCGGCAGGCACTAGTAGCCTACTTCTGCTTTATTCCACTTAGGGGTTTCCTTGGCACATCCTTGTTCCATAGCTTCGCCTGACTTCGGGCTATCCTTGTTCGGAACCTCTGGGACACTCGCCCAGAACCTCTGGAGATCCTAGTCCTAGAGCGTATCCGGCGTAGCAACGTCAGGAGGTTCGCTTGCGTCTCATGCTTCAAGACTTGACGCACCACAATGTGCCTCGGCTTAACTGAGGCCTGGGTCCTAGGTGTCCCAGGAAGCTTTGACATGCCGGTGCAGCATCACAGACACTTCTTAAATCCCGATAAGCTGGCGTCTCAAATAGCGAGGCCTCATCCCGAAGTGCGGTAGTACTTAATTCGCAGAAAATATCTTCAAAGATTGAGATCACAAGGTTCACTTCTTAAGCTCTACACCCTAAGTCCGTAAACGTGAAAGCCTTACGGCACTGTCGGCGGTTAAGCACCCGAATGCTGTCCTTTGAGCCGGCGAAAGGGTACCATCGTGATGGCGGTGCTGCTGCTGCTGCTGCTGCTGCTGCTGCTGCTGCTGCTGCTGCTGCTGCTGCTGCTGCTGTTGCTACTGGTTGTGATTGTAGTAGCAGCTGCTGCTCCATCACCACCGGCAGCACCAGCAGAGGTTGCACCCTTGTTCGTTCCTATCATCGGCAAAAGCATGAGAAAACACTGGCCAACCAACGTTTACACAGCTTGTAGTCACAGACGAGATGGTAATCGTAGCGCTCGTTGCGCACGCAGTGCTGGCAAAAGACTTACAGTATCAGAAGAAGCGCCGGAGCGTTCCTAACGATAACACTGACATCATCAAGTGCAGCGGCCATCTTTAAAACCGTAAGCCTTAATTTGGGTTTTGGTGTCTGGACAGGAAGCTTTGCACCGTGAGATCGAGGAGCCTTGGTGGTCGTTTGAGCCGTTCGGGCTTTTTGGAGGTGTTGCAGGCACAAACAGCGCTTCTAGAGTTCATGGGCTTTGGGTTTGGAAGCGGCAAGCCACAAGAGAGTTTTGAAGGTCGATGCTTCGGCTGCATGCTGTTTGTGTCACTTCTGTGAGTGTACATGATGAGAGCTCTCGAAAGCTGTTACAATGTCCTCCGTTCCCCGGACTTGGGATTTGTGGGCTGAGGGCCGAAGCATATCTTGATGCCTAGTTCGACTTTATCGCTGATTGGGCCGGGCATGACTAGGAATTAGCTCCATGAACTCCCGGATCCCTACAGTGCCCGTCGCAGCACGTCTGCTGTAACGCAAATCTCGTAGAAGCGTAGCCAGGGCTTTGCTCAACCCTGTAGTCTAAAAGCTTGATAATGTCAAAACATGTTTGGAATCAGCTGGGTCCCGGTAGCATGCCAGGAGCAGCAGCGCAACCACCCGAAGCCTGAGAACTCCAGAGACGGCCGGAGGGAAATCGGAACGCATGTGTCTGGCTTTCCATGTTCCCGCATCAGTCGCTCATGGTAGGACTCCCTTCTGTCTGTCGCGAGAAGCCAGCATAGATGAAGCATGCACACAAAGACACGAGTCAGCAAACATGAAGCAAGGGCCGCAACGGTTTCGGTGCATGTGTACCATGACGTAGACTTGCACGGCGACCTCCTTTTCACTTTCGCAATATTTCGCTGGCTCTCTGGCCCTTGTGTCCTGAGCGCCGCTCTCAGACTAGGACTTGGGCCTGCATGTGTTGTGCAGTATCATCTGTATCAGATTTAGTGTGTGGGACAACAGACGGTCAAGAGGTGCGCAGGACTATTAGAGGTCCTGCCATGGCTGTGCCTCCCTCCCCCCGTGTAGGGGACCTCCTGACGCGCCGGAATCCCATCTTCCGGGTTCCCTTGAAGCCATCGCAGGCATTGCTGGTTCAGAATTGGATGGATGGAAACTGTGTGACCTGCCAGACGACCGCAACTAGCGGCAGCACATCTTTATCCTTTGCTCGGCTATATGCATTCGGAGCCTCTGGCAATGGCAAGAAGCATGGGGATGAGATGGAGCTTTTTCTGAGGAGAGTGCAGGAAGATCCAAAAAAGTTTGAGCACCTCATTGACCAGCTTCGGAGCATGATGGCTGGCATGTCGCCGCCCAGTTTGCGAGTAGAGTGCTCACCATTGGGAGCTTCACCACGGATTGACACCGCCAAGGTGAAGAAGTGCCAGACCCAAGCAGTGTCTTTGTGAGCTGAGGATCTGGTCACCCTGGTCCTTGTGGCTCATGCTGAGAGCGACTAGCAGGGCAGTTGGCTTCCGGCCTTGCAGCGTTGAGGGTATGTAGTTAAACCCTAGAACATCGCCATATATACTTCTTCGGAAAGCAGCCTTGCGAGAAGTACACCCTACCCCTCAGTCAGCAGGGGGCTTGATTTGCCTTGACACTGGCCCGTAGTAGCTTAAATTCTGCGGGAACACTGCTCTGCTCCTTCCCTTATACGGCCATGTGCTAACATGAGGAGGTCCATGGATGGGATCGAAATAAACCGTCTCGCCAAAGGCCTCCTCGCAGCTGCGGTGCTTTCCACCCCAGCTTGGCTCCTCGAGCTGAGTTTGTTTTGTCTCAGAACTGGAGGTTCTGCTTGCAGCACGCCTTCATGTTAGCTGTTTCATACCTGGGAATCTTGACCCTTAACCAGGTTCGGCATTGAGCAGGCGTTGCTGAGGTCTCCCTGATCTCTGCTGCGATTTTTCTCCGCAGCGCATGTGCTGTCGATTCTTGCTTGAAAGGTTGGCGAGACACTGGGACCCAACAGGGCAAAGGGTGTGTAGAGCTTAGGAAAACCCGCAGCCGCCAAACTCTAGAGGCTCATGGTCCTTCGTCTCGCACACCCAGCAAGGGCACGGCCAAGACCGGAAACTCTACTTAATATTTGTCCAGGCCAAGGAGGTAATTCTCGATTGCTTTTGTTTCCTTCATCCCGAGACTAGAAAGTTGGGGCCCTCTAAACAACGAAGAAGAAGCCTTGTCCCTCGATTTGCCTCCTTGCAAAAAGTAAAGTTTAAATGCAGACACTTTCCTCCAGCTTGGTGCCAGGAATTGGGTTTTGAGTTTAGGGCTTCAGGTCAGGGTGTAGTCACTAGTGCCTATATAGGGTTTGAATAGAGTCCTGGCGCCGCTCTCGACCTTCATGTCTTGGAGTTGAGCTGCGCTCGTGAGGGGCCTCCCACAGAAACGCTCGTAGCACAAGAAGAGGTGAACACCAGACAATAGTTCGTGTGTCTGCGAAGAAGAAGCCGCTCAATTCATGTGTGTATTTCACTGCGGGTGTGGTCAGTTCTGGCTCAGGCAAATGGCCCATACAGTGATACAGTACACTGACCCTGCAATGCAGATAAATTAACATACAAATGCAACGGCAGCGCGAATACGTACAGATCAGGAGTTCAGGATGCTGAAATACAGAGACAGAGGATCGTACGGTTGAGATACACACACACATGAAAACTCGGTACTCCAGGGTACAGGGCAAGGCAATGCAGTGCAATTCGCCGAAACTAAATCCAATACCTGCCATACCTAAATACATACATGCACTCATGCCTACATACTCCTCTACCCACATTTCATACATTGCATACATTACATACGATACATAAGTTGCATGAAAATACAGCATGCCTCGCATATGCCGCGTAAGCTACACACATTGCACACATACATGAAGGCTCCAATGGTGTTGCACTGAATAGCTTTACATCATCACATCTATGCATCCATGAATGTATGTATATATATATATATATATGTATACATGTGTGTGTGTGTGTGCGCATGTGTGACGCGTGGATGCATATCGACCTGTTTGTGTCTATCTGCCTGGATGTTTTGATAGCTGTATATATGTATGCAAGTATGCATGCACACCTGCATGCATGTATGCATGTACTGATGTGCACACCTACAACTGTACGTGCGTATGTGTATGCATGTATATATGGATGTGTCCTATACATAAGCGCAGATGGATGGGTGGATGTATGTACACATGTACATCAGCGTGTACAAAATGAGTCCGGGTCGCTGTGGGAGTGCTCTTTGTTTATACTGTTTCGCATGACCAGAAAATCGAAAGCTTAAAGACATGCAGAAAACACTAGCGTTCTTTCTTATATACATGGTCTCTCATATGTGTATGCATGTTTGTATGTAGGTATGTTTGTGTTTGTTTTGATGTTTATATTGGGTGGGTGGCTGGGTGGCTGGGCGGCTGGGTGGTGTGCAGGGTGGTGTGCAGGTTAGTATGTAGGTATGTATGTATGTATGTATGCATGTATGCATGTATGCATGTATGTATGTATGTATGTACGTATGTACGTATGTACGTATGTGTTGTACGTACATGTGTTTTTGTGCATATGTATCTATGTATGTATGTATGTATGTATGTATGTATGTATGTATGTGTAAGCAAGGACGTATGTACACATATGCTACATAACTATATATTTCGTAAATGTGCGCCATGTATGTATAGCAAGCCAGTGTTCGCTGAGGTATGTATCCATGTAATTATGCTTGCATCCATGCATGTGCACACGTTTCTGTTTATGCTTTTTTGCAACATACATGTGGTTGCAAAAGCATACACCTAAACATATATGTATAATATAATTATATGGATAGCTAGATATTAGGCACATGTCTGAAAGCACAATCTATACTGCTGGACCAGGGCACCTTTGCCCCTCTTCCTGGCTGCCCGAAACCGCGTCGCTGCATGGATGCCCCCTTTGGGGCGTATATCGTTTCGCTTTTCGCTACTGTCAGCATCTCGGGTACAGTGCTTGGCGCCGTGCTGCGGGCATGGTCCACACATCCAACGTTGGAGACGTTGGGGGCTTCGAGTAAGCATTTCTGAAGAATTTGTCGGGTCTAAAGTCGTGTAGTTTGCCACAGTCAAGCGGTCCGCTAAAAAACGTCAAGCTGATACCAACGGCAAGAGGCCGTTCGGCGTATGAGTTTTGTGAATCATGCCTTCACCTTGGCATGTGGGTACATTACACATCCATCTCCCGGGGGCCGGAAGGGATCAGAGATCCCAATCATAGCTGGTTCCCGCATAGCTGACACTGAGTGGAACCAGAATCTCAAAAGGCAAAGGTACTTGCCTGAGTTGTTGTCTCTAGCATCTCTGCTGCTCTTTCAGTCGTTTGGTTTGTTGGTGTGTTGCTTGTTTTTTGACTCCATGCACGGGGTCATGACCTGCTGCCTCTTCTGGCCGGATGTGGTGGTTGGCTCCCTTACACGCAGGTTTTGTCATAGTGGTTGCAGACTAGTTGTCGCTCGTCCTTGCCTGGCAGCGTCGAGCATGAGAGCGAGATCCTAAAATCTCGAACCCTGATCCAAGATTGAAAGCCTAGAACAACTCGAAATCTCACGCCCGAAACCGTTCCTGGCAGGCTGCCGTGATGGGGAAGACTTCGGCGCAACTTACCGGCACATTTTGTGGTCTGCTGGCTGGGGTTCGATCGCCGCATGCATATATGCATGTCTGGATATATGTATGTGCCTGTAGGCATGTATGTCACTGTCTTGGCATGTATGTATGTATGTATGTATGTATGTATGTATGTATGTACCCTTGCCTGACTCCGTCGAGCGCGAGTGCCAAGAATGTATATATATGTGTGTGTATGTATGACTGTTATGTCATGTCATGTCATGTCATGTCATGTCATGTCATGTCATGTCGTGAAATGTATGTATGTATGTATGTATGTACGTATGTATGTATGTAGGTATGTTTGTACCTGTATGTGTATGTGCACACGTGCGTAACCGTATGCTCGTATGTATGTATGTATGTATGTATGCATGTATGTATGCGCGTATGTACATATGTATGAATGTACCTGTGTGTAACATTACATATTTACCCAGCCATGCAAGTACATACTGCCTGTCATACTATTATACTTTCACAGTGTATGCATACCACATACATATGTACTTGCGTACATACATGCCTACATATACCATATTACACTACAATACATGCAATGCACTGCATATATATATATATAGTTTCCTGGTGCCACACGTATCAGATACGTGTTGCAACTGCATGTCATAAAGTTCGTACATTAAATGCATTACATGAATTACGCTTCTTACATACATCAGGTACATAGCTTGACACAGACATAGCTTGCGCAACGTGCATAACAGGCATATCGTCATATCCTACATAGATATGTAACATGCACAGCATGCAGAATATGCAGAACATATGCTGTGCAGTGTTGACCATCTAAAGCTTTACCTTGCATATCATGCACACAACCATACTTAATTACATACATCCCGCACATCCTTTGCATGCATGCACACAGCCGTAAATGCATGCATGTATACCTACGTACATACATGCCTAGATGTGCATCATTTCAGCCATTCACTCATTCATTTCCTGTTCCCTTCGTTCATTCAGCGTTCGTGGTTTCTTTACACATATACCCAGAAAGCATACATACATACGTACATACATGTCTGGTCCGGTCCGGTTCGGTTGTGTGGTGTGGTGTGGTGCTGGCCAGGCAGGTGCACGTACACTGCATGATGGAGAAGACTCCTTGTCAGTCCAGGCGCTGGGGCTTGCGTGGTTGTACTCTTTCGATGTTGGCAGTGGCGTTTATGACCTGTCGCCCAGGGCTCAAGGTGTTCCAGCCGCTACAAGTACTTTAGTTTTGCCCGGCGACTTTACATGCCCTTCGTGATTCAGTGTTTCTTGTAACCTTGACTCCATGCATGCCTGAATGCACCTGACGCGCAAAAGTAGTGGCACCCATTTGCTTAGACGGAGTTTTGCAATTTCTCGCCGACTACAACCACAGGGATGCACCAACCCTGCGTCGAGACGGTCTCAGCAAGAATAGGCGAGACCAAATTCCGAGGAAATGCGTAGTTTGTGTGCCAAGAGATACATCATCAGCTCGAGTTCTAGGTCCGCTGACGTATCTTCGGAATTGGCATGGCAGCGTGCAACTACATTGACGTAGAAAAGCCCAATCGCTGCCCAGCTGTAGCCCTGCAGTGTTGAATAAGATCATATTTGACTCCTTGACTCCTCGACCCTTGGCCCGAAACCGTATAATTATCAACCCTAAACGCTAAATTGTAAGCCCTACCAAAACCAAAGCCCTTCGAACCCCCTGACATACAGCAAAACCCCATAAACTCCTGAAGCCCGAAAAGCCTCAGCAAACCTTATGAACTTCATTAGTTTTGAAAGAGTATCCTTCCGGCCCCCCCCCTCTCCCACACATTGATTCATCTGAACCCCAAACCCTAAACCCTAAATGTGGAGCCTTGCCTGCTGTGTGCGAGAGTGAGAGTCGAAACCCTAAACCCCAACCCCTAATCCTGCAGACCTTGCCAGGCTTGTCCGAGTGTGAGTGTCAAAATTCTGCAGTGCGACCTAGTCAGCGAAGCGGGTGGCAAAAGAAAACCCTAATTTAATCTCTCAGGCGGCTGAGCTTCGAACGGCCCTTGCAGAGGCTTACGAAGAGCTCTCAAGATGGCAACAGGAGCGCAGAGGTGTTGGATTTTTTGGGTGTGGGGTTTGGGAAGTCTAGGATTTATAATTTTTAGAGCTTGGAGTTAAGGGAAAAAAGGCTGAAGTGATTAAGTGTACTCATGGAGCCTGATTGCATTTTTCAGGGGTTAGGCCTTCTGGGCATAGAGTACTGGACTTTTGCATTGCGAGATGAAGACTGCGGGTTGAAGCCGGCAGGGAGCTTGCACAGATAGTTGTTCAACTAGGGCGTGTTCCCCATGTCGTAGGCGTTATTGTGTACCCGAATCCCAACACGGAAGCCGGAATACCTAACCCAGGCTACTCACAACTCCAAACACGCATCTGCGAAAGGAAGACCCATCTGCAAGCAATACTTTGCACAGCTACCTGTGCAGACACTTGGATGCAACTCAATCCATTGTGTGCTTTTGTGACGGTTCAGTTTGTGCCCGCGGCAGTGTGGTGTTTTTGCAAACCTGTCGTGCCTGGACACTGCGAATTTGCATAGATGTCAAGACTGTCAAGAGTTGAATTTCTCGGCCGATGTTGTTTTTTTTCATCCTCTTTGGTTCCCGACATGCCAAATTTTCTATGGGAAGAATGAGTATGACTATAAGAAGGGCCGTGACAGCATCGAAATCGACATGGTGGTGGTTCCGGAGAGCAGGAAGCAAGGACCTTACTACTGCCGATCCTGATGGTAAGTGGGCAAAGATTATAGTTGAGACCAGGGACCTTAGACCCTTGAAGCCCGCAGCCCCAAACAGCGGGTGAAGAGCTCAGGACGTTCCTCAGCGCCTGTTCTTTCCAGCACAAGGACCGGCTCCAGGAGTTTTTGGACTTTTTGAACTGCTGGCTAACTGCGACGTTGCGGTTAGGACATGCAGTTGATGCGCTTGCAGCGGGCTGAATGCTGTACTTGTTCTGTAGAGAGCCCAGTCAATCCGGTTTTCTAAACGTTGAACGGCTACCGAAGCCGCATATGACCTCACGGGTTTAACGTTTAAGGTTTAGGCACGAATCCTCAAGTTACTTGCATGTCTGGCACTCGTAAGAGTGCAGTCGTAAAGGAGGATTTACCGGCTAAGGCTTATTCGATCAAAGTCTGCTGTCCTTGCAGACGACGGGCCGGTCAAGCCCGCCTCTCTCAATTGTTTTCGATTGCACTGCGAAGTTCCAGGGTTCCGAATCTCATGTAGCGGATCAAGCCGCTGTGCAACTCTGTCAAAGATGTCGGGTCGGCGGGACAATATTGGAACAGATGTTTCCAGGTGACACGCATCCTTTGAGATGGATCCCGATTTGCGCAAGCATCTGCGTTCCCAAACACCGCAACTGACAGGACTGGCCCTCCGCCATCAAGCACGGACGGAGGAAGATGACAAAAAGCGAGTTCAGGCTTTGCGTTTCACATCTTCTCAAGCGGACCGTGAGCCTGCATGTTGTCCCTTCCATGAGGTTAATTTCTTGGCTGGTGCTAGGATGCGTGTGCTGGCTACTGGGCAGGTCTCCGCTTTGTGATGCCACCGATGATATCCTTGAACCTGAGCCCACGGTTTGTGCGGTTTAGGGCTTGGGGTTCTGGTACACACACTTGAGATGGACAGTGGAGCGGTATGATCAGGAATACCTGATGCTTACTAGAGCCGGCTAGTAATCTGTGGGCTACCTGCTGTTTCTACGGCACGGTCCTTCTTGCTACGATACCTTCATGCTGCTAGCTGTCTTCTGTTCTGTTCCGCGAGCCTGTTGGATGACTTTCCGCTTCGAGCCAAATCAAGAATTCAACCGCAAGTATTGCAATCCCCCGTAAAAAGTGTTAACGCCGCAAGACCCTACCACCGCCTCAACTTTCAAAAATCGCGACTTGACAAATGAATGCAGTTCCTGGAGACAAATCAGCTCAGTGCTTCGACGGTATTGACCTTCAACCTGAACTGAAGAAACCTTCATTGTTACAGGACTCTAACAAAACAGTGAGCACGCGGGAGCGGCTCGGATTAAGGATGTTCTGAGGCCTTGGCTGCTGCGGAGCAAGGCCTCACGCTGCTGAAGGTCCTGAGCAACAGCAGCAAGGCGCGAAAAGACGCCGCGAGTAAGTTGTAGTTGATATCGTACTAGTAGAACTCTCAGTCTTTAAGCCCTCTGAATATTTGTATATATATATATATATACCTCTGCACACTTGCTGTGTATTTATTCTGCGTTAATTAGTGCTTGAAACGTAGTCGCTCCACACTGCCCTATTCCCTAGATGTATATGGCTGTGATGATGAGATCATTCCTATATCCGAGGTTCTCTGGATTAGGATCCCTTCCGGGTCCTTATAATAAGAGAGACGGTACCTACGGGTCTTGTGGAAGGAAATCTACATCCTGAAAGGCCTTGAAGGCGTCGATTTTTTTCAGAAAGACAGCGGCGTAGCTTTGCTTCGAGGCCTCGGCACTCAGCTCGGACCCCCGCTGGTCGCGCTTCTACGGTGTAGGCTTGAGGGCAAGTTTAGGGGGTGTGTAGAGTCAGGGTTCTTGTAGAGTATAATGCGCACAGGGTTTCTGGAGTGTAAGATGTTCAGGGCTAAGGCCTTCAAGCGGATAGGGTTTAAGGTTTTTTCTTGCGTTTTAGGATTTGCAGGCTTTGCTTTAGGTCGCAAAGGTTATTATATGTCGTTTAGGTTTATTCAGTATTTAGGTAGAGCTTGACCCCAAAATCCTGAATTTTAACCCCATAGCCCGAAGCCCAAGGGAGAGAGCCTTCGCGAAAGGTCGAGGAAATGGCAGCGCTCCTCAAGGCCCGGGGCCTGGGACCACGGAGTGGTGCTGGTGGGGTTACTATAAAGGTACCGTTACCCTTAATGAGGGGGGCACTATGCCAGAGGTTCGGGGTTTTTGTGGGGGTTTGGGGCTTCGGAGGTTCGGCTCAGGGCCGTCGTGGGCACTGTAGCAGCTGCCACCCCGGGCTGGATGAAGTCGGGTTCAGTTTGAGAAATCTGGACCTGCGATTCAAGCCGCGAGTGATGCACACATCGAGCTCCTAATGCGTTCAGAAGTCTCAAAGTCTTAGGCATGTTGTTTTCTTGGGCTTTCCTGGGTTCAATGTTTCTAAAAAACCTGTTGTTTTTTTGGGCTTTCCTGGGTTCAATGTTTCTGAAAAATTCCAGGCAATTGATGAACCCAACCTCTCCGGATGTGGTGAAAGGACCCGGGACGGACCAGCAATAGGAGGGCAGAGAGTCCCTGTACGTTTGTAAAGGATTAAACGCATAATATAGGGGCCTGAATAATTGCCCATACTATTTTGGGGTCCTTATTATGATGATTCTAGTATTGGATAATACACCCCAAAAGCCTATTCTAATTTTTGAGGCCTTCACATGAGACCGTCAACCCTCATCCTACCGAAGAGCAGGGTCTTCGCGAGAGCCCGACCGGATTTGCAGAAGGACCTGCGCACATACTGAGCTGTGGGCCCAAAGCTCCCCGAAACTACCAAAAATAGCCAGGTCTCTGACTGCCTCATGGCGGTTGGCAAGGGCAAGACGGCCGTGATGCGCGGGTGCCTTTGGTCAGATTTTTAGTGTCGGGGTTCAAGTTCAGGACTTACTGTGGGGTTGAGTTTGGACTTTCGAGGATTGTGATATATGCCATTCACTGCTGCTTGAAAAAGTCATGCGGAGCAGTACCTTAACGTCCAGGGTTGCCAGACCAGTCTCAATCACGCAGCCCTGCGCCTCTCCTCTACAGGCCAGACCCTCAACCACTTTCTCTTACGTTGCCCCGTTTGTGGTGATGTGTTTTGGCTTTGCTGGATGCACAGAACTTGCAAACTGGACAGCCCAAAGCACATCACCACAATGATTGGGGATCCAACCAAATACAGTGCATTCTCATCCGGACGAAGTCGATCAAATAATTGGCTTCAGCCACCATGTCCCTAGTGTGTTACTCTATTCTAGCCTTACACCCAGCTCGAATTAGTAAGCTCCAAAAATTTTAAAGGAGCTCAAGTCCAGAGTAGTTCTGCAAGACGAAGAATTTCCTAGTTTGCTGGCCTTCAACTCCAAAGCATAGGTCGGTTACGTGGAGGACAAGGCCATGATGTAGTTGCAATATAAGCTGTCGAACTTAAATAGAAAGCCCCCAAATGTCAGAACTCCCACTAGAAGTTTCCGAAACTTGAGCGTCTATTCAACCATGCTTCTGTGCAAGAAGGGCTCTCATGTCCCCTTATAGTCCCCAGCCCGAAGAAGAGTTTCGATCAGTTGACGTCAACCTTCAGCTGAAATCACTTCAGCATCGGTCCATTCAACTCCTATCCCATCTTATCTCAACAAGTATCGCATGCAACAGTATTTGTTTGGTTCTTAGGGAGGGACCGTCGAGCACACACCGAACCTGGTTTCCAATTATCCTTCCCCTTTCTTGGCGGCTGATAAGCCCAGAAGTTGTTGATGCAGGCAGGAAGCCGCACAGCAATGCAGCGAGACCGGGGATGTTTGGGCCGGGGTCATGGCATTGCAGGCACGCTCCGCCCGTGCGTCCACAACGCATGACTGGGAGTTGTGTGTTTGTTGCCAGTTCTGCACCCTGGCCCTATTCGGTACCGAACTAACTAGAGGGTCTGCTTTCCGCAGGTGTGTTGGCTAGTTTTGCCCATGTCATGCTCTTCTTTGGGCCATGGCTCACTGGCACGCTGCCATGGAGCACACAAATAGCTACAGAGGCGTATCGGCCCAAGCAAGGTTGGCAGCAGACCCGTCCAGGACAACTACACGGGTGGCAGCTGTACGCAAAAAAACCTAAACGCACCTACGAGAGCACCCGTGCAATGGTGGAGCTTGTTTTCAGGCTTCCTGGTCCAGTAGACGTCTTGCTGAATATGCTTATAACGCCGCAAATTCCAACATGATCACCGCGCGCTTATGCTGAAAGCACCGCTTGGGAGTATAGGAAGCAGGTGTGCTGGCAAGCATACACACATTTTTTATGTATCTCAGATATAGCTTCTGATAGCTTCTGTCAACGAAGGAAGTGTGTATGTATGCGTGTTTATATACATATATATATATATATCTAGAGAGACAGTTCATCTCGGTGCCATGGCGCAGTTTCAAGACTGCCTTGATGGGCTGGGAGCCGTGAAAGCGGCCTTGGAAGCCGGACAGGAGGAGGCCGGTACCTGAGAGGGTGGAGGGTTTGTGTAATGTCGGGCAATGTAGGGGCCTAGATAATCACCAATCTTATTTAGGTGGTTCCTTACAGAATAATATGCCCCAAAACCCTATTCTAATTTGGCCCCTATATTGGGTAAGTTTGGATGTAAAAGAGTTTATAGGGTTCAGGGCTTCGGGCTTGCACGGTTTATGGTATTAGGGCTGGGTGGGGAGGGAAGGCGAGGGTTGTAGGCATTGCGTTTATATGTTGGTTTCGACCTCCAGGGCTGGTGGAGCTTTACGCAGTGTGCCGGCGCAGATTTATTCGCGTGGGTTTCGTTTCTTGCGTTGACCTTGTGTCAATCTCGCAGCTCATGGACATGTGTGGGTCCTCGTCGTTCTTTCTCGTGTTGGACTTGTCAGAGCTCAAGTTTTTTCTGCCCGAAGCATCTACATTCCCGAAGCCCTACATCAATACAGTCACCCCACAAAGTGAAAAATCCATAATTCGAAATCCAAAATCCGTTTGGCTTTGGCTGCGGTTATCTTCGGAGCTCTATTGGTCGTTGCATCGTGGAAGGTCGCTTGATGCCTTCGCTTGGTCCTGTCCTGAAGCCTTCAGACCCATGTCCGAGGCAAGCGCCTGACCTCCACACGACCTGAATCTCAAACCACCATCCCCTGGATTGTCGCGCAACCCAGCTGCATCCCCCAACGGCCAAGGCCTAAACCCTTAGACTCCAAGAAGCTGCCGTGCTTGCTGCGGTTTGCGATGCGGGAGGCAAAATAGCACCCTACACGCCGACCTTTCCGACCCTTCCCAAGCTGGCGGCTGCTCGCAGGTGCGTGCGGCCATGCGGTCACAAAGCCGAAGCTCAGATTAACCAGCGTTTGTTGATTTTTGGGTTTGGTATTTACGCTTTAGGACTTTAGGATGCCTTGGGGTCTGGGGTGAAGTGTTGCCAGGGTTTTTCAGAAGCTTGGGGAGAGCTTCTGGTTCGTGGTTTTAGGGTTAAGTGGGCTTGATCAAGGGCTTGCGGGAAGGCGTCGGGACTTAGGGCACTGCAGGGTGTTGTTTGCGACTAGTTCGAACGCAGAATGTCTTAGAAGCAGGGGTGTTCGAAAGGATAATTCTTTTCTCCTCCGGCTTGTTAATCCTGCTCGAGTGAGCTAGCTTCAGAGATCAGGGATTGGGGAGTGATGCGTTTTGTGCTGCGGTCCCACGACTTAGCATGGAATTCAGTCCGATGGGCGTGGAAATTCACCCGAGCTTTGATGCTTGTTCAACCGGTGCCCACACGGGGCTTTACCTTCACACGTGAAAGGAAACTCATCGGAGCTTATTATTTGTTTCTGTGTTTGGGGTTCACGTGTTGCTATCAATTACAAGAGTAATGGCAAGGATAGTAGTGATGTACTCAGAATCATAATCATTAGAGTAACAATAATTAGTAGTAATAGTCAGGACACCGAAGTTGAGAGCCCGATGCGGCTTCAGCGGACGAGGGACGATTGCAGGCCTGCAACACACACTCGAATGTTGCCTAGTGCAACATGCGTTTGGACGCGGCGTATAATCTCAGCAATGCAGGCCGGCCCCCACTCGAAGCAGAAAAGTTGCCGGGCAATTGTTTAAGCTTGAAAAGGGCTTTACAGAGTAGCCAGACACCGCAGACTGGCAGAGCGGTTGCAGGGTGAGCCAGCGGAGGTACAGCAAGGGACAGAGCACCAAGCAGGGACCCCGACCGATGCGCGCCACTCTGCAAAATCCCATATAACCGCAAACATAGTAAACGAAGAGCGAGCAAGCTGTTAGTCAGCCGATCACGACCAGGCAAGCCTAAACTAGCACCCCAGGCTTGCTTTCGAGGGTGGCTGATGAGGCTCGGTGCTGGCTTTTCAAAAGGGACAAGGAGGGCCTTGCATTAGGGTCTTGGGGAGTTGAGCCTTGACGTTTGGGGAAGGAGTAGCTCCACAAAGGAATTCGTGTTGCACCCAATCTGCAAGTCTGACTGGTTCCCCCCCCCAAAATAACCGTTATTGGAACAGCATTTGAGCCCTCATTGCCTTCAGTATAGTGGGTATTGAGGGAGAAGGAACAGAGGGTAGCATCAGCTTCGTTCTATCTAGGTAAACCGCTTCGCAAAGCTTTGCATCCTTGAAGGTCGTGAGCCTCAAAGGCATGCTGCACGCAGAGGAGCGGAGTCGGTTGGACGAAGGATGTGATTTTCAGCGGTCTTTGGAGCAACCTTCTTGAAAGGTTCCGCGGTTCTCCTGTTGGGGAGGACCTGCATGTCTGCATAGCGGCATAGCGAAGTTAAATGCCCGGTAGGGTAGTAGGTTTATGACGGCTTAACTTTGGAGCCGCCACAGCCCCAAACCAATAGCTAAGATACAAAACATATCGAAACGGCTGAAGCGACTAGGATTTACGTTTTAGTGTTCTTTTGACCAACAACAGTGGTGTGTTTTCGGGTGGCCCGCCTTTGCGGTCTTACGGTCATGGTTTGTGTCAAGGCTCAGGCGCACGGGAAAGCATTGACCATGCAGGATTGGAAGCTTACGACCTGACACTGGCTGACAGCCAGGAATCTCCAGTCGTTTGTTAAATACTGGCACGTTTGTGTGTGTGTGTGTGCGCATGCGTGTGTGTGTGTGAAGGTGTATCATATCTTTATATATACAGAAAGAGAGAGAGAGAGAGAGAGAGAGAGAGAGAGACCGAGCATCCATACTTTCTTCTACCCCTACAAAGCCCCGAAACAGGGGTGCGCCTCACGGCGCGGGGTGCCTCACTCGCACCCTACGCCCCGGAGAACAGAACAGAACAGAGAGAGAGAGAGAGAGAGAGAAAGAGAGAGAGATAGACAGACAGAATCTTCTTCTGTTATCGTTTGCCTGTCCCTTGGGACTTCAGTTGTTGTTTCAGCTTGACCCACGTTTCCCCATAAGGCCCAACAACATGGGTGTTCATACATATTTGTGTATATAGCGCTCTATGTAGGCTACATTGTACAGTCCAATGCTGGGTTATGGTTAAGTTGGTTTCTATGGAACGACACACCAGGACACTGCATGAAGTGAGTGACGCTACATTTACACCAAATCATTGCAGTACCTTTCCGACCTTGCTTTACATTACAGCCGCAACATACTACATGATGTTGTGCTGGCCTGCACGGTACACAGACGTTAGAATTTCAGTGCAGGTCGACAGACAAGTACTTAAGCACGCAGGTAAACAAATTGCGAATAAACATGTAAGGCAAGCAAACATGATCACAAAAAGGCAGTAACAATAAGCAAGCTAGACAGCTAAGGAATAGCTCAGTTTTCTAAAACGTCTGGCAAAAATCAATGCATTTGCCAGTGTGTTTGACCACTCGCGAGTCGGCACTAGGGAGAACGAAAGTTGCGCTATGTCGCGCTACTGAAGATCTGGCATGAAACTTGCAGGGCCAGGAACTCTCCCTGGGGGTCTCCTTTCCCAACTGCTGCGGTCGCCATACTTTGACGACAAGCTATGACATCAAATCAGAACACTCGAGTGCAAGGGCTTATGTCCAATAGGCGGAGGGCCCAGCGGTGCACCGTCTTGAATGTCTTGATCCCTTCGGGGCAATGGAGGAAATGGATGAGGTTATCACTGCTGTGCAAAAGAAAAGTGCAGAGATGGGAAAGCACAAGTAGCCAAACTTGGCACAGCATCTCAGTCACAAAGTACCCATATGTCCCAGGATCTTCCGTCTTGTCGTCGGTTGTTCGCGTCTTGTTTTGTTCGTCTTTTTCTTCGTGTTTCTGCGTTTCTTATTCGTCGTTGTTGTTGCTGTTGTTTCTGTTCTTCCGTTTGTTCCTTGTCCTGTCCAATGGTGTGCTCTCGTACTTACCTACAGCTACGGGGGCGGGAGGACGGGCGACTGCCACCAATTTGGGGTTTTTCTGCGGTCAGGCCGGTTAGGCCCTCAGGCCGAAGGGATCTCGAGACTAAGTGTTCTCGCAGTGCCTTGGTATGTGCCTCGGTGCCTTTTGGGCTTGAGGGCACATAGGCTTGCTCTTTGTTGTTGCTGCGTGAACCTTGGTAGAGCATTGGTGACCCTCGAGCTTTGGTTTGCAGTTCGTGATTTCAGTTTTAGGTCCTGTTCGGTTGTTCTAGGCTTAAATGCCACCGTTCATGCATGCAGTGGATCTAAAGTTGTCTTCTCGTGGTTGTTTGTGGCTTGGGTTTGAGCTGATGGTTGGAGAACCTTTAGGTTTTCCGACTTTCCCTGAGTTAGATGTATAACAGTGTTTGGCAACGTACGCTTGTTGGGATTGCTTGGCGTGCGCTAAACTCTGCCTGACCCAGCTATTAACAGCTTCACCAGTCACGTGTGGCTTGCAAGAGTATGCGTTGTTTTCAAGAGAATACAGACAGGGCGTTGAGAATCTTGTCTTGCAGCATGACCGCTTAAGCCGCTGGCCTTTCATTTAGTTTTGTTTCTGTTCGGTCGCAGT